TTCTTGAAAATATAAAGGTTTTCTGTCATTTTGTTGCAGGAGTTATTTGCTGTTTGGACACAACCCTTCTTAGTGTTCAAAAGTCCCTATTATTCGCTTTTAGTTTTCACCGATGAAATCTTGCCATGCTTTGTGTAAGCAGTTATAATGGTAACGATTATTTATCTTTAAATACCAAACAATCAAGCTTACAGCTGCTCCTGATAAATGGGATTCCATGTATTGCCCTTTCTGGAAGTCTAACAAGTCACCCATTTCACCCACTCTTATTGAGCGCTACTGAGCACAATTTCTTTATCTTTAGCAGTACTCAGATGACACATACAGTAACGCATTTATGTCTGGAAATTCAGAGTGTAAACTTCCGGTTGGATAGTACACTCGACTTTGAACTCATAATTACTGTAAAGCATAGACATGTATGAGTTTTACCAATGTCTACTGATAGTAAATACCATTAGAGAAGATGGGAACAATACTTGTTCAGAGGAATTTAAAGGAATTTTGTGGGTTAAATACCAAGATCAATGTTAAATCTGAGTGTCTTTGATAAAGAAAAGGAACATTCTAGATTAAAACATGTACTAAATTCTTAGACAATTACTATTTGGGTTTAGGTTGCATGGTCATGGAAAAACTTCAATATTCCTGTTTCCTCAAAACCTAACTTCCATGAAAGAATTTTTGTTTTGTAAAAAAAAATGTCATGATCATAAAATGTGAACAGTTGGAGCGTTATGATGAACTTCAACATCTGAAAAGAAGATTGCCTCCTTCAACATCTCCAAATCAGCTGCAAGATGTTTTGACATATAATATCCAACTGGAGACTATTCAAGAATTTGTATGAATCTGTTCTGCATCATAGTGTAGCCGAGTGAGGAATAGCCCCAGTGTGATTGACTGGCATTACCCAAGCCGGTGAACCTATCAGTGTTTGTATTTCATTATGATTGGTCATTATTGTGTAAGGTTCATGACTTGCACTATCGGTGCCTGTGTGGTGAATATAAAAAAGGGAAGTGTTTGGCTGCTTGGGATGCATCATCCTTGGTACTGCCCCTTTGTGACATGTGGCATTTTGAATGAGGGATAGCGGTTGGGTTATTCTCCTGCCGTACACTGACTGAGCCAGTTTTCAAGTAGCTCTAATCCTGTGTGGCGATCGACCATACGCATTGCAGTATTGTAAAGTTCTCTTGGTTTGACTGCACGTCCAGGGGTTTCCTATGATTTTAATTGGAGCAAAATGTACATGAAGTGACGTGACTGCACTGCTGCTATGTTTTGTTTTTTAATAGTTTGTCAACTCACCTTGGTCTGTTTTGTTTTATTTGTGTTGGAATCACTGGCACAGGATTGTGCTGGTCTGCGCGTGAGTTAGCTGGGAGGCTAAATTTACGTAATCTGGCCATATATACTTTTTGGATATTTTGTTTCCCTCCTTAGTGTTTATATTTTGTTTTTAGTATTTTGTATATACAGTAAGTTATCATTGATTTGTATGTGCTTTATAGTTTGTTTCTGTCTTGTTTTTGTGTGTGGATCTAAGTGTTTAAAGTGGGAGGGGTTGGCCATGGTATCCTGTACTGGTGTGTCCACATGGAGTGCTGTGCTTAACATTTTTCTTTGCTTTCACAAGTGTGTGTTGTGGGTATTGAGTGTGGGGTAAAACACTGAGAGCACCTCAACTCTTTTATTTTTGTTATTTTATCTTATTGTACATATGGGTTTGTATGTTTCTGGTGTTGTTTGTGCTGTGATTTCTGAGACCTTGTGTGAAATTGTATTGATTGACTGTTTTTATTATTAATGTGTATGCTTGAATAAAGTGATTTATCTATATTTCTGTCTACGTCTCCATGCTCATACCCTGCCTTTGGCAACGAACCTGTTACACCGGGCTGTTATGTCCCGGTTTAAAGGATTTGTTTCTTTTGTTACTGGTAACTCCCTCTACCTGACCACCCCTTGCCACAATAGCAAATGGTGGTGAAACACCCTAATAAAGAAAGTTGTTCACATTCTTTTGTCCAACCCCTGTATCTTAAACCCTTTTACACTTCAAAGGGTGAGCCACAAAAGTCTTACTGATTTAAAGCCTTTTATGTGCTGTGGACTGATAACAGCTTTCTTTGTAAAAAGCAGTGACGAAACTATTTAATGGCATTAAATTACTGCCCTGGTGGGTGCTGAATAAAAACATGCCTAATTATGTTGCTCTGCAAAAGCCAGCAAAATTGACCTTTTTGTGAACTTTACATTTGTATTTTTATTTAGTTATTTATTTTTCAATTGAGATTTTATACCTTCTCTCTGACCCTTAATTTTCAATATTCAATTCTTTTTTTATTTTTTTTGCTGCTGTGCCTCTAAAACTCCCAATTAATTAAATAATCCATTCCATTTAATATATGTGAAGACAGCGAGGCTCTGCTTATTACAGCCCATTACTGCAGCCCATTTGGAAAGAAGAACCTGTAAATTCCTGGAACAAAAGCTCAGATTGCACACCATCTATCGAAATAGCACACATGAAAAGTAGCCACTCTAGAAAACCACTGAATGATGTCAGGCAAATACAAAACACAATATCTGCCCTCTCTATAGTTCTTCTGCCTGTATTCATTGTCCTTCAATACGATCAAAGCTCCTTTGACA